TGAAGACTTGAAGGTTTTCTTCTCACAGAGGTGGTTCTAGATGGTCATTATGGCACCTTTTCAGAGTACATAGACTTGATTGGACAACAGAGCTGTACACTATGCAGTTGAAGTGCCACTTTATGTGAAGATTTCTTCCATGTCAATTCTTAAGTTAGGGGTCTGTTGATATAATTGTTTGAACCTGTTTGCCAGCCAACAGGCAAATTGGGTTGTTTTGAAGTCCCCTCCTTACTACTTTGATTGTAGTCATCAAGTACCATATTTTTATTCTTCATTTCATTATAAATATTAAACAATGAGATGTAGTATGATCAAATTGACATTTCATGGTTTCACACTACTTTTTATTTTCCAAACTTTGTAACATTTAAGATTTATAAAGTTTAAGTTGTTCTTGCAATTCATCCATTGATCTAATATTGAATTGCTCTTCCTTTTGTTTCAATAATTTATAAATTGCTTCCAGTTGAGATGCTTGAGTCCTGCAACGTCACTTCACATGATGCAGTTGATATGTCATTCACATGTGTGACATCGAAACAACAGAAAAACTATTTGCTGAAGAATCTTGTTAACAACCAGGAAAGTAATGATGATATGCCTGAATCACTTGATAATAGTTTCAATGAAGATGAAGGTGGTAGAAAAGTTTTTGTCACGCAGAGATCCCGCAGAAAAAGAAGTGCTTCAGATAATCACTTGAGTCCAAGGGTCGGAAGTCTCTCACCATTAAACATCAATAAGAATATCACTGCTTCTGATATTGAAAATAATGAAAACTCACCTCCAACTCTAAGCCAGCGTTCCGTTACCTATGATAAGATCTTTTCGCATCACAAGGAAGTAATACTTGCAAACCATCAAGAAATTTCACCCCGAGCCTCCTTTGTGGTCTTAGAACGGCTTCCAAGCAATATAATATCTGGCAATATTATTCCTCCTACTCCAGTGAATTGTACGGACAGTGTTATACTCAAGAAAAAAAAGAAATGCTCGGCTCCAGGTAAATAAGTAATGTGACTTCTGCACTTTGTGTACTTGCGCTGTGCACTTCTGTATAAAAAGGAAGCTGCATGCCCACCCTAACCATTTTCTGGTTTCACTTTTTCGTCTGTATTTTTGTTGGTTCTTTTAAACGCTTACCTTTAATCCACACTTTCTTTAACACGACTTCAAGGCATAAATATCTAATTGTCGTTTTATTTGCTTAATTTCTAATTTTTATTGTACTTGAGCTTAGCACATCCCTCAAACAATCTGTAAAAA